GTAACATAATGCACATGAAAAAGCATGTGATTTTTGGTAGCCATCTTTGGCAACGCCCAGTTCATAGGCTGTTGGATGGTCTTCTCTGCTGAGTTTAGGAAACCAGGTCCTTGCCTCGTGGCTGTTTGTCGTAAATTCCCTATCAAAATGGATAGTGTACTTTGGTGCGAAACTGGACAGTGTCTTTCATTTGCAAGGCTAACAAGCAGTTTGATTGTTTTCTCAACACAAAAATGTGTCTACAAAACAAGATGAAGATACAGAAGCTGAGTGGAGGACAGCTCTTTGATTAGAACATTTCAGCAAAAAGGGAAACAATTTCTCTCAAGGATTTTTTAGAGTCTTTATATACAGTTAAAATTTGTTCACACCTGTTCCAGAAGAATTTGTTTTCTTTCTTTCTTTTTTGAGTTTGTTTCTGAGTGTTGTTTGTGAATGCAATTAATTTCACATTTTTTTGGTGATGAAAGTTGTCTATCAGTTTTATTTGTCCATTTTCATCTCTCTCTTCTCATTCTTTTGGTTTGTTGATCCGAAGATTTTACTTCTCAAAATATTTTCAGTAAATAAATATTTTCTCGGATATTTCCCTGTTAGTTTTGTAGTTGACATTACCATTAAAGCCTCTTTAAAAATGTATAAATTATCAAGGGTTCATGAGGGAGCGGGGAGGGAGGGGGGGAAATGAGGAGCTGATATCAAGGGCTCAAGTAGAAAGCAAATGTTTCGAGAATAATGATGGCAACAAAGGTACAAATGTGCTTCACACAACATATGTATTTATGGATTGTGATAAGAATTGTATAAGCCCCAATAAAATGATTTTTTAAAATGTATAAGCAGCTTGAAAATTTGCCTACTATCTGGAGCCACCCTGTAACAAGGTATTGTGTGATTATGGAACTAAGTTGATCTTGACTTGCTGCCTAGACATTATTTATTGATGCTTTTGGCTAACACCATATATTAATTCCAGAGGGTTTAAACTCCCTCTCCCCCCAGGTTACTTAATATAAAAGGCAGTCATCAAAGAAGCCAGTTATTCTCATGGGGGACAAAATTGAACCTTAACTACCCTAAAAATTAATGCTTTAGCTTTTCTGCAGGCCAAGATAGCCCTCTGATTTATACAGAAGCAGTGTAATTGGCTCTAATTGAAATGAGAATTACACCTGAAAAGGCTGGGTAGTTGAACCTACTGTGAACAGAGCTCATCCGCACAGAAGGGTCTTTCTGCCTCTGGGGTTCTCTGGCCATCCTTAGCAGCAGAAAGTCCCATGTTAGTGTGGCATTTCATAGGGTTAATGAAAAGCATTCTTTGGGATTGGTTGCAGGAGTCCCTTCACGAGGAGGCTGCCATGGGGCATTCATGGACTGTAATGCTTCCAAGTGCTTTTAGTCAAGACATAGCAGTATTATAGATCATATTTGAAATTAATTTCCACGGCTCTGTGGGAGTGGAACATGGCAAGAATTTGGGCTTTGAAGCAGGATTTCAAACCAGTTTGAACCGGTTCAGTCATTGCCCACAAAGCAAAGTCAGCACAGACCCAAATCCGTAACATTTCTGTGGAGTCCCAAGCAGAACAGGAACAATTATACGCCAAAGCTCCTGAATGCAAAACTGCGAAGAGGCAAAATGGGCCCTTCGTGGGCCCGATGCAAAAGAGTGGGTTATTGAGTGTCTGAGTGGGGCCACACTGTTTCAGACTGTCTTTGGAGAGATTTCGTTGCTATGCAATGCTTTCTTTGTTTCTAAGAAAAGTTTCTAGCAGTGGACCAACCCATGTTTTTTCCCAGTCTACTTGTCATCCCAGTTGACACACATTTTAAATATTTGAGTCTGCTTTGACTTTGCTTCCTTGGCCATGACTGAACTGGTTTGAGTTGGTTTGAAGCCCTGCTTTGAAGGTGAGCAACAGAAGCTCTGTTCCCTGGTTCTGTAATTTATGAGATGTGAGACTTGGGGAAATTTACCTCTGAGTTTCAATTTCCTCATCTACCTCTGGGCATGTTATAAGCTTCAAGTAGGATGTAAAGCTTTTACTAAAATGAATCACAGCTAGTAAGTGCCTAATACTCACAGCTACTATTATATATTTGTATACCTCTTCCTCATCACCTTCACTGCTCACTGTTCTCTATACCTAGATTTTAGAAATGCTCACTGTAAGAAACGTTTTGCGAAACGAAATATTTGGAGAGCACTTAGATGTAGACTTCAGAAAGGTGGAATTTATCCCTAGCCGGCGATTGTCTTCTGACCACGTCGTCTTGTTCTCCGAAGGTGATGGTCATTTTGTACTTACGTCTGTGGATAATGGGAGGATCCATGCCGCTCTTCTCAGAGCAGGATAATCCAGCCTCGTTTTCGCCTTACATTCTTACAAGGTCAGTAGAAATACATTTTTTAAAGCCTCCACTTGGTATTTGTTGGATATTTTTAAATCATCTTAATGTATATCATAGTTTGGCCTTTGCCCTTTGGTAAAAGAGGGGTTGTGTTCTAAGCAAGGTGTGATGGGAGAAGAAACGATTGTTTGTATATTTCAAATGCTTTTTAAACAAATGGAGATGTTGTGTCAGTGGTGATATTGTTCTCATATTGGTATGATGAATTTAGCATGTGTTTTATTGAGTGTTTATCGTCAAATATCTATAGCGCCACTGAGATGGCAAATGTTCCAAAACAATGCACAGAGATCATTGGACAGTCCTTGGAATTGGGTAAGGTTGTTTCCATTTCAGGCATCAGGTGCAGGTAAGGGAATTCCTCTGCCACGTTCACTGGTTACCAGTTGGGGGGCTTCCCCAATCCCTTCAGGTTCAGTCATGTTCTAGAATGACAGGAGTCAGGAAAGTGCTATCTTTACCATTACCGTTTTCTTCTAACAAAAGGATTTTACTCAATCTGTTGAAAGGATAAACGCAGGGTGAGGTCTGGGACAAGGAAGGTTCAGAATGTGAAGCATCAGTGTCTTTAAAGGGCACACTACAATTCTAGTGTCGATGTGTGGAAACGTGTGCAGGAAATACTGCCAACCCAAGAATCTCTCACCAGCGTTGTGTACAGCGTTTGCGTTTGAATTGGGGCTTCAATGTGTGGGCCTGGTTGGCGGAATCATTGCCCATGCTGTTGAACTCACTTGCCAGTCTACGTCCCTGCCCCAGACAGAGGCCAGGCTTTTCAAGTCATTGAGAAAGGAGGTAAACCTTTTTAAACATTAAAGTAAGGCTGCATAATAATGCTGTACAGCTGTTCTGACATATGCACACTCAACATAAAGACACCTGGAAGTGGATCTTGTTCATAACTTGGGGGCTATCTGCTGATTATACTGACTGATGATAATATTGTATTGCATGAAGTTAATATAGTCTATGCCTTGTTTGGATGTTCTGCTAAGATACGTCTGCTATGGCATCCTCTAATTTGATATACAGTATTCTTATAATTTAAATAACATTTTACTGGAATCAGGATTTTTTCCTCCATAACCTAGACATGAAGAGCATTGTTCAAAAACCTTGAGGTATTTCAGCATCATTTAAGTTGGCGCTTGTCACTTATCTCTTTGCAATATATGAACTTTGTCATCATAATACGAAAGCTTTGCCATGAATAGCCGATATACACATACTTTTCTGAGTTAACATTCTAAAAACTTAAGTAGATATTTCTGTATCTATTACTTGATTTATGTTTAAAATGTTTTGTCTTTAGGCTTAGCTTCTTATCTATTCAACCTGCTGTGATGCACTGTTGAGACTTTCATATAACTATGTTCACAATTTTAATAATCTTCAACATAGTTTTCACCGTCACTGTTTCAGATATCCAGGTGCAGTATTACTAAGTGTTCATTCATAGTTTCAAATATCCTTTCACATGACTTAAAATTCAGAAAGGTGTGCATCAGGGTTGCCTTCGTTCACTATATTTAATCAATCCTAATGCTAACCACAAGTTAAGAAGCTAGACCACAGGAAGAAGAGCACAGCATGAGGACTGAATGACTACCTTGCTTGCTGAAAGCAAAGAGAAGTTGGAGCACCTACTAGTTGATGAAGCTCAAAGACTGCAGCCTCAGTCTAGATTATACCTCAAATAAAGATACTTGAAATCCTTACAACTGGACCAATAAGCAATTCATGATAAACAGATAAAATATTTGAAGCTGTCAAGGATTTCATTTTAGTTGGATCAAAAATAATGCCCATTGAAGCAACCGTCAGAAAGCCAAATGACAGTTTTAGTTGGACGCATCCGCAATTGATCTCTTTAAAGTGTTCCAAAGGAAAACTGCTCCGTTGAGGACTGCGATGTACCTGGCCCAGGCCATGGTATTTCAGTCACCTCATGTACATTGTGGAAGCTGGACAATGATCAAGGATGACTGCGAAGATCGTCTGGACATGTGATCAGGAGGGACCAGTCCCTGGACGAAGCGTGGTGAAGTAGAGGGTTGCTGTGGGTCAGAACCTACTTGATGGCACCAGTGACACCCACACCGTTGTCCTGACTTTCAACTTGCCTTTGAACCAAATAAATCTTGAATACGCTTTCAGAAGTCATTTGGGATCACATTTCTAGTGTTAGCTTATCCCTTCCAAAAGGGCTGGAATCTTTTTAAATTGTTGTTATATAAATTATGATTTTAAAAAAATGTTGTCTCACCGGTCTAGTCTATTAATGAAACTTGATTATCTTCAACCTGGATTTTTGTTAATGGTGCATTCTACTTACTCTTTACAAGTATCTCTCACTAGCGTTCATCTTTTTCTCTGTGGTGCCTCATTAATAAAGAGCGCAAGTTCTGCCTCACCTTAGAAAGCTACTTTATGTCTTCAAGAAAAAATTAAAAAGGCAACCTTTGCCAGGTCTGTTCATATGTCATGGCTCTATTTCCTGTAGCTTCCGGTTATTTCCCTGAGTGCTCTCTCGTCTCCTGCATTTGAGCAGTAAGGCTGTGCTCCTTTTATTCTTGTAGTTAGCACACACTCTGTTTCTGGAGGTTAGCGATCTCCAGAAGCCTAGAAGTATTTTTTTTTTTAAAAGACAGATGGGGAGCAAAAACAGACTACACCTGGCTCTACATGCCTATCTGTCACCAGTCACGAACTGCCTGTTACCAGGTCGTTGGTGTTGGGAGGAGAGGTGCCTTTGTCTCTAACTTAACCTTTCTCCTTTATCATTTTAGTTGTCATGGTGCTGGGGTTGTGTCTTCTCTTTGCTGGTTGGAAAGTAAACCCTTCCTAGCAGCCTCTGACAAAATTAGGACCTTGGGCCAGTCTTTGACCAGAGTCCACTTTTCATTTCCAAACTAATACATGAACAGTTGACGATTGAACAGTGTGGGGCTTAGGAGCATTGACCTCATGTACAAAAATCCATGAATAACTTATAATGGATCTTTGAACAACATGGGTTTGAATCGTGCATGCCCCTTGGTACTCGAATGACTCCCTCGGATACTTGTCAAGCTTGAGCTCACTAGAATAGCAACAGGGGGAAAAGTGTGCCCGGGCAGTCCTTAACAGGGTTGTCAAAGAATCAACTATATCTGCTTTTACAGGTGGATAGGGTTGATCATTCATCCAGGACTTTTACATATTAATCCAGTCAGGCAACTATACTCTGGCCATTAAATCATTAAAATGGTATTTATAAGTATCCCAATAATCACACCTTGACAGTTTCATCTCCTTTCTTTCGTTTCTTGCATCTCAAACTTAAAACATGTCAATACTCGGGAATTTCAGTGACATTGTCATAATTGGCTTTCCGCAGTCCTCCAAGCTGCCTGGAGTCAAAAGGAGTCCTTTGAGCATTCAGAACATTGTCTTAACTTCTTTTCCTGAGTAAATGTTCTATGCAGCTTGCATGATTCCTTGACCTTTCGTATACGAATGATTCTCAAATTGGATCACTTTCATCTGTTTCCTAATGTTCTTTTCCTTCTCATCAGTTGAGCAGTGAGTTAGTTAAAGTTTATTGTGCCAACCTGGTCGATAAACACATGTGGAGTTAATTGAAGGGTGGAGAGAGAAATCATTCCGTGAGCCTCGCCTTTCTAGTTCTCAGGTCTCTTGCTTTCTGATGGTCAGACCAGGGTGCAGTTGCCTTAGCCAGTTCCCTGCTTCAGCTGGCAAGACTCACTTCCTGCAAGACATCCCCGAGGAGAAGCCACATGGACCTACCCCGATGCAGCCCTGGGTGCTGGAGCAGCCGTGTGGAGACCCCTGCCAGCGCTGAGATGCTTACACATTCACTGACTCGGCTTTCTTCCTGCAGTCAGCTTCATAGTGTGTGTTTTGTGAGATGGAGGAGGACTTTGTGGATCGGTGTTGGACATGTGGGTTAATGTTGAACTTGTGGGCTTGGGCAGCACTGGGTTGGGATGATTTCTTGATGTGCACTTACCCTTTATATAAAACTCTCTCTTATACATGAGTTTCTGTGGATTTGTTTCTCTAAAGTTCCCAGACTCACACAGGCAGTTTGCTGTGATTGGCCCGGTTGTATTTGTCTGCCCTTGTTACGCACAGGTTTACTGCTGCTCTGTCACTTTCTTTCTATTGATGTTTCTCCTTCATCGCAGAGTTTCAGTAAACCTTTTGCATTTTCTGTTGCCTCTTTCTTTCTTGCCAAGCTTTGTGCTCTGAGGAGTAACCTTGATAGAAGGAGTCCTCAAGGGACAAGTGACATACCAGCTGCTAACCTAAGGTCACCGGTTCCAACCCATCAGCTGCTCCGTAGGAGGAAGATGTAGCAATGTGCTCCAGACAGACTACCGCCTTGGAAACCCCATGGGGCACTTCTGCTCTGGCCTGGAGTGTTCCTTGCTAGTTTAAAGAGACTCGGTGGCTCAGCAGAACAACAGACTGGTTATGTCCTGTGGTCATTCTGAGGAGCTCTGGTGTTTCAAGTGGCTAACATTGAACTTACCAATTTAAAACTATCAGCCACTCCTTGAGAGAGACGAGGCTGACCACTCCAATAAAGCTTTAGTCTTGGAAACCCAAAGAGACAATTTGGCTTTGTCCTGTAGGGTCTCCGTGAACCAGAATGGCCTCAATGGCAGTGGATTTGCTTGTTTCATGATAACTCTGGGTTTCTGCTTTGGAGAAACTGCCGGTTCATTCTCACACCAGCTGCGTCACTTTACATCCCCCCAGCGATGTACACAGTTTCCAATTGTTCTGCACCCGCTTAAGTGCTTGCTACCATATTTTTCATTATAGTCATCCCGGTGAGTGCGAAATGGTATCTCACTGTGGTTTTAATTGGCCTTTTCCTGATGACTGATGTTATATATCTTGCATGTGTCCATCGGCCATTCCTGTTATCTTCTCCAGCGGCTCCGTCTGCTTTTGAATTGGGTTCTTGG